ATGTATGTATGTATGTAAGGGGTGGGCCATAAAAACCGGCTCCTGCACTGCGACCTTCAAAGATCTGTTGTGCTTCCCCTTGGATTAGCCCTTTATTAATCCTACACTTTTAATAAAGTGTAGGACCCTGCTTATGGGGCCATCATAAAAGTCACTTGGTTCCATAAAAAATTGACCCAAGTGATGAAATCTTAAATGGCCTCACAATCACTCAGGATGTGTGCTGCTGATTCATTTTCCTGTAGGCACCTTTCACAAGTTGGGTTATCTGTCAGTTCCAACTTGAAAAGGTGTCCTTTCAGGTGGCAGTGTCCAGTCAGAAGAATGCTATTTTAGTATTATCACCACATTGGGTGACATCTACCAGCCACTACAGCTGGTGTCATATAGCAGTCATTAAAAGAATTTACTGGATTGAGAGATTTCAAAATTCATTCATTCCTATTTATTCATTTGAGATTGGCTTGGTGTTCACTAGAGAAATGGGATGTAGGCAGAGGTGGCTCTTGTGCGGGTTAACTAGCAGTGTAAAAGGACTGAGCATTTGGAAGATGCATGGCCCACATTACATGGAACAAACTGATAACAATTTACACTTTTAATACAAGAAAGATGGCATTTTACTGTCTCAGGATCCTGTCATCAAACCATTGAAGGAGTGGAGGAAGAAGGGATTGTAGGAATATGAAGGAAGTCTCACTTCTGTTGGCTCTAAGAGTAGTCTGTTTGCCTTTGAGGTAGGCTGAACCTCTGAGTGGCCATGAACAGGAACCCCGCCCACTCTTTTTATTTTGCTTTCGTCTCTCCTGTCTCATTGTTTGCATTCTGTTTGTGATATATGATATCCTGTTTCCTACATACATCAACCTTTTCCCCGTTGCTTGACAATTGACTTGAAGACTGAGACAGTAGTGTTGTGCTAGAACTTGACTAAGTTAACAGATGGTTCAAATACAGTTTTTAATCCATGAAAACAGCAACCTAGCTGTTATGTTTGTTGACATTCACATTGTCTGAATTTTCATAACCTCTACTTCTGGGCGGGTGCAAGTATAGTGCAGTTGGTGTAGCAATTGGCCATGGGCTGGATGACCAAGGGTTCAGAGTTCAGGTCCCGGTAGTATCAAGAATTTTCACTTCTCTATGTCATCCAGACCATCCAGCCTCCTATCCAATGGGTACTGGGGCCCCTTTCCTCGGTAGTAAAGCGGCCTGGGCATGAAGCTGACCGCTCACCCCCAACTAGTGCCGAGGTCAAGAAAAATGGATCTATACGTCCATTCCCCCAGATGCCTTCATGGCATAGTGCTTAACTAGTTAAGCACAGGGACAACTTTTACTTCTGGGTATGTTTGCAGTACACAGTAGTACATTAATTGACATAGAGCATGAACATATCTTCACAGCAATATCAGATCTGCAGAAATAAATCCACCATCTCCCACTGAATATATTATAGGTTTGAAGAAGCCACTTCTGATGATATGCCATGTAATTTTTATTGTTTTATTAAATGACAGTTTTTTCTTCCTCCATCTAGAGTTCAGCTTGCTGTATGCGTGAGCAATATAGTGAAACATGACTTTCCTGGACGCTGGACACAAATTGTGGACAAAATCAGTATTTATTTGCAAAATCCAGATGCACCTGGTTGGACAGGGGCACTCATGTGCTTGTATCAACTTGTGAAGAATTTTGAGTAAGTTCTTTAGTTGACTAGGAATGTACATTAATGGCCCTAATTATATACACATGTGCATGCGTGTGCTCATGATCAGGCCTGCACATATTTCCTGTGTGTTTTGGAGGCACCTCAGAGAAGCAGGAGCCAGGATAAAAAGTGCCCTGTTTCAGCAAGACAGCAGTTGAAACTCCTACATATAAATAGCAGCCAGTTCCTTTCAGGTTCAATGAAAACCCAATGTTCAGTTGCTATGATGTGGGGGAGGAGTGACAGTAGGATGGGAAAGAAATATAGGAGAAGGAAAGGAAGGAGGTAAGGGGATACTAGGTTGGAAAAACAGATTAGAGAACTGTTGTAATATGAAGGAAAAGAAGGAAGAAAGGGAAGGATGGTGATAGGACAGACAGTTAACCCTTACACTGCTGCAGTCGACATATGTCGATCTCTGAAAAACACGGCATCCTTGCTGCAATCGACAAAACCCGTATTGTAGCTTTAGAGTTTCAAATCTCAGGTTTCTTTGCATCAATTTCATTCAAACTTTGTTGGTGCATAGAGTCATCAATTGGGAACATAATGAAGCGTTCATTTCAATTGCTGCATTCTTCTGCCCTCTAGCTTAAGAAATGTAAAAGGTTGCATCTGCACAGCGAGGCACGCACTCCGTGATCATCTGATGCAGGTATTTCACAGGGCTAGTAAAAATGGCTTTGTATAGTGTGCGGTGCTTTTTATAATAGTTTTAAATAAAGATGTGGACTTTGGTCAACATGTGACATAGTGATAAGACTAGGATAGTGAATTATATACTTTTTTGGCCATCTTGGACAATCCTGATTTTAATGGACTCTTCCCCTGTGAAAAATACTGAATAATTCAATATTTTATCACAAATTTTATACTCTGCTTTTAAATTATTTGTAAAAGATTTATTAAAAAATAATACAGCACAGAGGGTACTGAGAGTTACTTAACATACTAGCAGTGAAAGGGTTAAAAGGGATTGGAAAGTGGTGCAAGAAAGGAGGGAAGGAAATCGCAGTAAAAAAGGAATAAAGGGAGGAAAGAAAGGAACTATTGTGTTTGCCATCTTTGATTGTTATATGCTAGAATAGGAAAAAGATTGTAAGGACTATCGTAAAAATTTTAGGCCCTGTGGTGACCTGGTGCCCAGAATTTGTGTAATCCTGCTCATGCCAATGTAATAGGTTACATCTAGAAATTCTACAAGCAATATTAGATAAATATAATCAAAGAATCTTAGTCTGATATAGAGATTGGTAAATGTAGATAAAACCACAGATGGTGTCTGAGTTTTTGTCTCTCCCAAAGCTGAAATCTGTGATGAAAGAATGATACAACTGACTTGATCCATGCAGCAGAGTCTTTAAGGAGAATGTTATATACTTTTATTACTGTAGCTTCTCATTGTAGTATGCGAGAGTTAAAGTGATATAGTGCATGAAATTGAGTCATTTAGTTTAATTTATACATAAAATTGGTTTTATTTTCTGCTAGACACACACAGAAAAGTATAGTTCAAAATTTGCTTTTGTGTTTTAATGCAGTTTAGTTTTCTTACAGGTACAAGAAGCCAGAGGAACGTGGCCCACTGAATGAGGCAATGAATCTTCTTTTTCCGATGATGTATCAGCTGTGTGTTCGCCTACTTCCAGATCAGTCAGAGCAATCAGTTCTTCTCCAGAAACAAATACTCAAAATATATTTTGCATTGACACAAGTTAGTATGGGCAAAAGAGAATGAATTAGAGTGCTTTTACACCTGACTCATTTTCCTAATCTCTATGTAATTATGTTTACTAAGTGTCCATTTTCAGAGCCTCTAGTTTCTGCTCTTTCTTCTACCCCAGTTATCCATTGGCTAGAGGTCTTCCATGTTTTCATCCTTCTGGAGGAATCAAGATCCACATTTCATGTTGATGTCTTATTCTAGGCTGACAGTGACAGTGTTCAGAATAGAATAGCCTTTTTGTTGCTGTTGTATTGACTGTATTTTTTTCTTCTTATTTCTTATCAAGTATCTGCATTTCTGATACAATGAAATGTCTGTAGAACAAATGCAAGAATAATGAAATATTTATTTATTTATTTCATGTATAGATCATTGTTACATGATATAGGACAAGTCAGTTACTGTACATTGGCTGATTAGAATAAGAGAATAAAGTTACGATACATACAGTTGTTTACAGTAGATTACAATAGTTAATAATATATCCAGTATATTGAAAATATTGTAACATGTTCGGTGTATAACGTGACAAATAACTTCACGCCATATTGGATATAGCGAATTTAAAATTCACAGTTACACAATCTTAATCTTATACAATTCGCTATCACAATTGCTGTTCAACTGCATCTTGGCGAATCCATTCAACTGTCTCTGGCGACGGCTACAATTTAACTGCTCGTAACTCTTAACTGGCTCAGTACTCACTGCTGAATAGTGTTCGCTGCTCCTTATTTAGCCTCGGCACGGACAACACAGAAAGCAGTTACATGATAGCTTTCATTGTTGTGTGACGTGTTTACGGATTGCCTAGCAACAGTTGCTGCACAGGCTCCCCTGTTGCGTGATGCTGTGTTTACAAAGGCGTTGTTGGGCAACACTGCCGAGAGCTGTTTATTGCTACATAGCAACTGCAGTTTCCCCTGTTACATCACCGCAGGGGAGGGGGTGTTTAATGAGCGTTGCGTCATTCACGTCACAATATTGTCATTCCCCCACCATTTAGCATATGTGTTTGTGTAAAATATTCGCAGTACAACTTATCATAGTGTTGTGAAAGTGGTATTATAGCATAATTAAAATGCAGCTGTGGATGAAAAACTGTGATCACTATTGTAACATTTATCATTCTTTGGTACACTGTTTTTCTCATTTCTGATAGCCATGAACTTTAATTTCTTTCTTGTTCATGCATTGTTTTGCCATGACATAACAACACTGCTGTCTTCTTGTGCCATGCACTGAACTAACTTCCAGTTCACTTGAAACACTGTTTAACATCAACTTCAACACATGTGTCTGCACTGGCCATCTGTGTTCAACTAAAATTCGTCTGAGACTGTTCTTTCCTGAAGACAGAAGTCACTGTTTCATACGTGTAATTTTTTCTAAAATGGTTCTGTGCCTTCATGAGTAAGTAAGGCCCTCTGCTCCTGCAAGATCTGAGGAGAAGGGGAGATCTTGATCCTGCAGTGAATGAGAGGTGCCCACAGGCTGGTATGTGACCTCCCCTTCTTGCTTGGTTCACATGACACTATAATAATACTAGTAGTAATAATAATAATAATAACAATAATAATAAGTGTTTATAAAAATCAGTAATTTTGTTTAGAACAATCTTTAATAGGGTGGTAAGTGCAGTCTGACAGTGTTGTAATGCTTGCTACATAGCCAGAAGCTGTTGAAGGTGGTTCATTTAACTAGTGCTTCCTGCTTGCCACAGTTTGCACAGAAAACATTTTCTCTATGCTGGAATGGTCTTGTAGATTTGATATGTTCTTGTGAAGAGGTGGATGTGGGAAAGAGAAATGTAAGCAATTTTCATTGGAGGAAACATGCAACATTATATGGAATGTTGACAGAGTGTTAAAAAGGTGAAACTGCACAAAAATATTGAGTCAGCCCATCACAATTGGAAGCATTAATTTTCTTTAAGGTATTTGTGTTTTCAGCAAAGAAATTAACATCATTAGGAAAGACCAAATAATAATAATCATTTCCAGTCTCTGCTGGTTTTCTAGAGCCTTTCTAATGTTACATTCCAGACCAGAGTTGAAATTCAGAAAGTTATGTTTCCAAAAGGAGTGCAAACCAGCCATATAAGAGCATGTTTGATAGATTAATTAATTCTGTATATTGTGTACATACATGTTCTCATATGCATCTGATGGAAATTGACTGCCCTATACAGATACGTATATGCAGCATGTGTTCATTGAGTTCTCATTACCTGGTCTTCTGTTCTCTTTTTGTATGACCCTTATTCCAGTACTCACTTCCCTTGGACTTGATCTCTCGTGAGGTGTTCTCTCAGTGGATGGAAATTGTGCGTGCTGTAGCAGACAGGCCAGTTCCAGAGCAAACCAATGCAGTAGATGAAGAAGACAGAGTAGATCTGCCTTGGTGGAAATGCAAGAAATGGGCTCTTCATATCCTCCATAGAATGTTTGAAAGGTCAGTTTCTCTAAAACAGAGATTGAATATGTTAGGAAACGAAGTACTGAAGAGATTGTACAAGCTGGAGAGAGCTGGATTAATAAAAGAATGGAGAAGATTTCATAGGCTACTCATAATTTGTACTCTTACATTGTTGAGAAGATGTTTTTATCTTCTGTTCTCAGGAAATTTATCAGCAGGGTTTTAACAGATAGGCGTGCAGTCTGCATGGGAGGGAAGGGAGATGATAAAGACGTACAGAATTTTAGTTGGAAAATCCTGTGGAAAGAGCAGTTAGGAGATTAAAGGATAGTGTTAAAATTTATCTTTACAATGTAGATTGTGAGGTCATGAATTTCGAGTTGATCATGATTTGGTTCTGTGCTGGGCTTTTGTGTTGAATGTGTGGGAACTATGATAATGTTTTGAATCATTGAAAACTTGATGGCTGTTGGTGAATTGCTCTTTACCAGGGAGTTGGTTACTTCATTGTAAAGGTAAAGCTATCCCTGTAACAGGCCATGGAGGCCCATAGGGTTGAGAGATTTTGAGAGTCCAACGTTACTTAGACAGTCTGCTCACAGATGGCGGTAAGGTTGTCAGTCTTATGCGCTGGCCGCCATTTATCCCCCAGGAAGATACCTGGAACTCATTTCTGTTAGAGGCTGAGTCAACCCCAGGGCCATAGTGCAGCTGGAAGGATTAGGCCAATTGAAAAAATCCACCTCATTGGCACTCAAACCCATGACCTTCTGACTTGTAGCACAGGGCCTCAACCAACTACGCTACAGCGTGCCCCCCTGTTACTTCATTGTAGATCACCAAATTCCAACTAAAAATGTATTTATGTTGATGCACATTTGCACAGGAAGCTGTTACTGATACTAAATAAATCACTTTTTATACATGTAGTTAGTAAATGCTCATAATCATCTAGAGTGGTTATGTTCATCCTCATCCTTACAATGAAAAATATGTTTTGCCACTGAATGAAGTATATTAGTATTTATTGTGAAGTGTGCCAAATATTCAGTTAAGAAAAAAAAATTAAGATTGTTTAGTCTTGAAAAGTATTCATATGCCTTTTTGGGGCTGCAGTGTGCCATATGTTTAGTGCTAGTGGTCTAAACCATAACCCAGATCAATAATGGAAATTTTAGTTATGTATTTTGTTGTCACTGTTTATTACAAAATGAAAATTGAGATTTGTACTCTGCTGTTAGTGGAAGTGGCAGAATACTTGAGCCGAACATACGAATGTAATATGTGGCATGTTTTAATTTAGATGTTGGATATGTTTTCATTTTAGCCATTATTTGTATTATAAAATCAGTTCACTTGATATTTCTTTTAGGTATGGAAGCCCAGGAAATGTAACCAAAGAATATAAAGAATTTGCAGAATGGTACCTGAAGACATTTTCTGCAGGAATTTTAGAAGTTTTGCTCAAAATATTGGATCAGTACAGAAGAAAAATATATGTCTCACCACGAGTCATTCAACAGACAGTTAATTACATAAATCAGGGGTATGTAAAATCAATATATATATTAAGTACTATTGCATGAAAATTTAAGTACAATGCATTGCAAAGAAACATGAACTGACTGTGAGGTTTCCTTAAAACAGGAATGAGTATGTGAATGTCCCTGGTTCATATTGCATAGAAAACTTGTTTCATGGCAAAGTAGTGGATGGGTTGCATGGAAGAGCAGTGTTTGTATAAGAATCAGTAACATATGCAGATTGCACTTTGTACAGAATTTATGATTACCAAACTGAGTAAGAGTATAGAAGTTCATCTTTTCACAGGGAGTCACACAATTCACAATTAAGAAAGTCATTAACTCTGATGGTAGGAAAAGATTATTTTCTGTCATAGAAGCATAAGGTTTAACATCAGTTATGTGAAATGTTCAGTGTTAGCGCTAATACTGTGTACTGTACCTTAAATAGTTTCTACCACCACAAAGGATCTCAGTGCATCCATACATTAAGCAATATATGTTGCCTCTGGTGTTTATCAAGCTGTGGAAATCCATAGAGCATCATTCATTCATCAGTAATCTGTCAGATGACAGGTCCACAGTCTCCTCCAAAACAGTTCCTCCACTTAATGCGATCTCAAGCTTTCTCCTTCAATTAAAATATCCTCTTCTGTCCCAAGGTCATCCAGCATCTTTTTACTTCTTCTTCCTCGTCTTCTGGGCACTTCTGTTCGCCCCTCCGGTTTGTTTTGTCTCCAGAGGAAACATCTCGCATACATGGTATCTCTGTTTTTGGAAAGAGACTATCCAGGAAAAGTGATAATGTGGGTAGTTTTTCCATTTGCTTTCCACGTTGCAGTACAACAGCTGTTCAAACCACTCTGGTCACGCCTGTTGCTATACAAACTTGAACCATCTCGAGCATCATTTGCTCTGTGCTTCAAGTCGCTGCTGATGACGCTGCTTCTGGCATCAGTTTTTGGTTTTTGGTGTCTCTCTTCATCTAATGCCTACCCTGTGACCCGTCCAGCAAGTGAGGCCCTGCCATTAGCTATGCTACCACTGGTATAGCTCTCAGGGTCCTTGGCATACTCAAACCCCCTCACCACGATAAGGTGGAGACACCAACAAGGGGGAGAGCATCATATGAAAACATTTTTGGTTCCACTGTCTTTTCATTGAGGCAGGAGCAAAGATGTACATTTGGATTTATGTCTGACAGATGCTTCACATGTGTCTGACCAGGTGTACTCATTAATCTGTCTTGGTATGCCCAAAAGAAAAAAAGAAAATATTGTGAATTCCAAAGGAGAATGGAACATCCCAGGTCATCCCTACATGGTGTTGAATTGTTGACTGCCATATGACATATACATCTGTTAAGAATAAATATTTTGACTGTTTTCTTCACTGCTGCCTGTGATGTGCCAAAAGCTATTTCCCGTTCATATAATTAAAAGGTTTGAAGACAAAGCTCAGTGTTTCTTCAGCTGCCCTCAAGTGAGCTAAGACATCAGAATGCTGTGTTGTCAGTAATGCTCCTTTGTTTCACGATTAATAGAAATTGGTGGATGAACCACCTTGCCAGAGTGCTTATGTGAATCCAGAAATGATGTCAGATCACTCTTTGCAAAGGAACTGAAGAAATACTCTCACCAAAAACAAAATATATTTTTATATGGAACATAATCTGACAGTGCATAGGAAAATGCTTCTCATAATAGACCTCTCATTATAGGCCATACTCATTACAACAGGCTTCTACTGTAGTGTAAACATATCTCCCAATTCTGTATGAAGTATTTTATGTTATCTTTGTTAGCAGTTACAAACATGGTAGTGCCTCATTTTGAGGTTATATTGGTCATATTTAATGTAGGATTTGAGGTTCTCAGAGCAATGGTTAGGAAGACTACTTTCTTCTGGGACGTAACATTTCGTATGTGGTGCTGGAACTGTAGGAAGTAAGGAGTGATGCTTTGCCTTTGCGCCTGAGAAGGAAGGGAGAGGTACAAAGGAATCTGGTCTTCTTCTTCTGTAACTTTTTTAATTGTCAAATGTGTTGATGAGTAACCTTCCCATGGAGGAGAACTATAGTGACTCAACGGACTGCTTGGCATTAAATTCAAGAAGACATTTACTCTTCATATTGAATGTAGTCAGAATCAGTACTAGTTGAAATCATACACAGAATTGGCTTTGTTAATTATATAATTATTAATTTATAGTTGTTGCAAGCATCATAATATGTACTGAAGCATTTCCAGGACAGTAGGAATTATTAAGTTTTTTCCTAATTTAATATAAAATAGTAGTTTCTTTGAGATGTGTTAGAAAGGTGGAAGAATCGAGGGCATTGGTAAACAAATTTCTAAATTGTGGAAAAATTTAATTCCAGTGGCGTGTAGTGAACTGTTGGCTTGTTTTGCTAGAGTGTTTCATGGCAGTTGACTTTAACATTTTTTCATCATTCATGTGAAGCATTTACAACTTCCATGGGGTGGCACTGTACTTCTCATTAATAAATACTTTCATGTTCTGTCTTCCGTATGCCTTACAGTTGTACACTTTTTTATGTTTTGATTACTTGCAGAGTTAGCCATGCTTTCTCTTGGAAGTTCCTGAAGCCACACATGTTTGCTATTGTACAAGATGTACTGTTCCCAATTTTGTCATACTCGCAAGCTGATGAAGAACTCTGGAACACTGACCCTTATGAATACATACGAGTCAAGTTTGGTAAGAATATATCCTGTGTGTTGCTGTATTGCTTCCCTTCACCAGTCTGATTTATGTGTGTATGTCCATGTGTGGACACGTGTTTGCCCCCCCCCC